TCACTTAAATCTTAATATTTTTCAGAAATATTTTGGTGGACGTCTTAAAATATAATAGATTTTATAATTCCAATGGAAAAATAGTAGCGATTTTTTTTTGTATGGGGAGTGATGCAGTCTAATGTGCAGTAATAGTCTGTCCTCTTAGATAAACTTGTCGGAACTTATTAGTTTTAGTCAGACAAATATTAATAACACGGTGCTACAGAAAAAGTCATGAAATACATCCGAAACAAAACCTAGTGTAGGTTGTAGCTATGGTTGAGTACAACATAAAATAGTTCCTGAACCCTACATTTTTATTTAATTTAAAAACAACCGTTATGTTCGTTCTTAATGCACTTATCTATTAACAGCTTGACTATTTTTCATCCGATTTTAAAAACAAAACATGTTTTAAAAAAAGAATGTATAGACCCTTAGTCTGACCTGTCTCGTTACCCCGTTATATGGTTTGGTGGTTATATTTTTTATCAAAATAAAGTACTCTGAAGAATAATAAACTCACAAGTAAAGAAGTATAAGTTCGGGCGAAACCGAACTTCCGTCGTTTCAACTTTCTCTGAACTACATTTGCATGATAAGCAGGGGTGTTTTTCCCGATTACAAACGTTTTTGATAATATACAGAGTAAGACTTAATGATATAATTGAACTAAGTTAGGTACAAATGGTTAAGGTAAGGTTAGCGAGTTACACATTTGTGGTCATAAGTGTAAAGTATTATTCCTCGATTTTATGGTACTCCTTCGGCAAATGAGCGATATTCTTATGTTGCTTCAACTATTTACATATTTACGTTTAAGAATTTCATAAATTAAAGAAGTCTAATGTCAGAGATTTGCTCGTCTTTTACTTTTAGATTTAATAAATTTGTAAACATCTTTCAATCTCAAATTTCCGAACCACAACTATCCTTAGGCCTCTTATTCAGAGCTATTTAAAGCACTTAACTTTGTCAAAGCCAATGCAAGTTTCTAAATAGTATTTACATATCTCAAACTTATAAACTTTTGTATGCACATTAGGGTGGTCCAAAACAGTAAAGTCGGAATTGTAATGCTCTCACCCCCTAGGATTGTTCTATACCGAAAAAGGTATACCCCTATTTTTTTATTTTGAAATCAAAAGATATTTAGAGGTCGCTCAAAGCGCTCAAGGTTTTCCATGTGTTTTTGTACGGGAAAAATAAATTTTTTCGTAGAAAGGGTATAGAATTCTTGAAAGTCAATATTTTTCGATCGGAGAACTCTGGATCTCTTCAGGAGACTTTCAGTAATACCACCCAATTGTTTATTTAACCAATTTTTAATACTAACGATTTTTTATTGGTCACCTCATTGCATTTTCGGGGTTTTTGTGGGTTTTTAGCGGACCTATAAATTATAGTTGCAATAAAAAATGGTTAAGTAAACAATTGGGTATTATTATTGGGAATCTCCTGCAGATAAACTGAGTTTTCTGGTAGAAAAATATTCATTTTTAACTATTCTATACCATTTCTACGAAAAGTTGTTTTTTACCCATATAAAATACATGGAAAACTTTGGGCGCTTTGAGCGACCTCTAAATATTTTTTGATTTCAATGTACAAAAAAATAAGGGTATATTTTGTTCGGTATAGAACAATCCTAGGAGGTGAGAGCATACAAATTCCGACTTTTCTTTTTCACATGCATTTTTTGGGACCACCCTAATGTAGATATATGGCATATTTTATTCTCTTGTATACCTTGCCTTCTGTACGTACATACTAGGGATGTTGCGAATGTGGAATTTTAGACATCCGCGGATGCGAATGCGGATGCGGATGTTTAAAAGCTAACATCCGCGAATGCGGATGCGAATGCGGATGTCAAATATTTTTAAGAAATAAAACTGATGAGTACATTAGGTCATTTAGGTAAATAAAAAATGTAAATTTAGTGTTTTTTTATTTAGTACTTAAGTTAAACAATTGGAACGTTGTATTTAAGAAAGAGTAATTTTGCTGCCTTTTCCGGTTACAGCCTGTTTCCTGACGGGTCGTAAATCAAACCTGCGCACTAGGTAACTACGCGCTCGAGGCGACAAACTTGAAAAACTTGAAACTTGACAAAATTGTAAATTCTTTTCGATTGACGCTGCACCACTTAAGAGAACGTTCAATTATATTTCTTTTTTTTAATGCGGTGCAATAATTCCTTTTTGACAATTGCATCGGGGCTGCAAGTGTCGGATGCATCCTCCTGACTTTCATCTTCACAATCTAGCATCATGGCAAGATCGTTGTTTAAACACCGTTGTGTTCCAATTTGGAGCACCAATTCTTTTGTTTGTTTCAGAATTTGGAGAACCTGTTACGTCATCAGCGTTTTTTGGCTTTAGTTTTAGTAAATCATTTTTAATACTGTCTTCTGTGATTGGTTTGAAAAATGTGTGCTTATAGCGACGTTGTGAAGAGGTGGATATGGCAAATAAATTGTTGTTTTCTGGGGATGAAAATTTCGAAGAAAATTCTGTTTTGAAAGTCGTGGCTGTCAGCAGAATTAGTTTAAAATCTTGTTATTTTGTTAAAAAGGTACCCCGCTTTTTATAGTAATTTGTATTATTTGAATCACGACCAGTAATGGATAGCTTGTATTTAGTTTTTTTTTTTTATTAGTTAGTGGAGCTCGGCTTTTCCTAGTTGCAGGCAGTCACAATTAATTACTCACCGCTGTCGGTACCATAACCCATCAAATCCGTTTTGTTGTTCTATTCCATGCGCTCAATGTGTTTTGATATATTTTTTGAGGCGAATGAACGCAAATTTTCAACATATCGTTAATACTAGTTTAAAAGAGCGTATTTCACATTGTCGCTGAAATACAAAAAACCACAACTAACTTAATTTTTGTATTGCCTAAAATGATGTGGGGACTAATGATTCGATTAAATGCATTATAATCAAAAATTATTAATAACAATAATGAATTAATTCTTATTTAGTTTGTGAACTTGGCTGTCAACTTATTTAGTACATATCATTTCATATTTATTTCGATGCGTGCTAATTTTGACAATTTACACAAAACTAAAATAAATGTTTCTGTTTCTGAGCTGAAAGACTAATAAAAGGGAACACGGAAGCATACTAAGTTTTATGAGCATACTAAGTTTTATGAGAAAAAAAAATTACACTTTACTAAGAAGAAGAAGAAAAAAACTAGCGATTAACGCAGCATCTCCATTTTTTTTTTGCCAGATATACGTTTTATCAGTGCACTTGCACAATATTCGCATTCGCAAAAGCTCCGCATTGATTATTGCGAATGCGAAAGCGAATGCGAATGTTAAAATTTATGCAGAAGTTCCGCGGTTGCGAATGCGAATGCGAATATTCGCAACAACCCTGGTACATATGTACATATAAAGTTCACAAGCGACCGTATTAGATTTGTAGGCAACATGGATTTGCACTTCAACCTGCGTTGCGTTGCTTCGGAAAGTACTGACTCTGCTCCAACTGGCTTTTTAAAAACGCTGCGACAGAGAGCTTTTTTCGCACAAAGCGCTAAAATATGTTGAAATTTTCTTGTCGGTTGGATGCCCATCCGTTCACTCTACGAATTTCTTCTTACAGCTTCCATATCTACTTATTTACTTATTTTAAATATGTACATACTACATCCATACTTACTCATCTCAAACTCATACTGATTTTATTAGAAATTTTCTTCCTTACCATTTCGCAACGTTGCAGATCCGGTGATGACGCTAATGCCCGGCCAGGAGCCAAACGTAGGCATGTTCATCGAGGAACACAAAAAGCGTGCCGATGGTGACCCAAATGCACCGCCTTTCGACGACTTACGCAATTACGCTTATGAAGGTGGTGGTAGCACAGCCGGCTCGCTGAGTTCGCTGGCCTCTGGTGAGTACTTCAATGAATAGCTGGAATATATGTAGGAAAAGGAATGTAAAAAATGAATATAAACACAACTTAGCACATGTAACACCGTTCAACAAAATAAGACTATTTTGCACCCATAAAAAATCAAGAATTTCTGGAAAGTAGTGGCAAAAAATTACCCGTGTTTCTGAATCAATTCATTTACGGTTTCTATGGGAAAAAAGATCAACATCAATGCCGATTCAGTCAATAGAATATTGCCTTTTGATCTTTTAAACTTTATTAAGCTTCGTATTGAAAGGTCCTTGGGGTTGCTAATTACGTATTTGAAAACAGTTTTTAAAAACTCAACATTGCGGATGCATGTTTAAACTAATTTTCAGCCCTCTATGAAATTTTAACCCACTTCAAAAAAGGAGGAGGTTATCAATTCGTCGGAATATTTTTTTTATGAATGTTACCGCATAACTTTGGACCACGTGAACCGATTTCTAAAATTAATTTTTTAAATGAAAGGTGGTAGGTATCCCCGAGGTGGTCGCATACTAATTTGGTTTAGATCCGATCATTGGATCAAGAAGAAATTAACGGAACTCTTAAATTACAACGCTTTTATCAACTTGCAATGTTGTGTTCCAGAAACTTTCAATGTTGTGTGTCCGACACCATAAAGCTTTGCTTTGAAAAGTTCCTATAAAAAAGCATAGTGCATAAGGCGACATCTGTAGTGAAGTAGTGCATAGGGCGATAGCTGTAGTGAATAGGGCGAGGTAGATGACATCTAGATGCCGCCCTATGTACTACGTTTGCTACAGCGGAAATAGACGACACGTCATTCCTTAAATAAAATTAATTGGTGCTCGTTTGTATGTACATACATATGTAAATGCATGTGTGTGCACCTTTCTATTAATATCGTTGAATTATTTTAATATCTATTGCAAAATTTTATTCAGACAGGACTAAAAAGTAGAAAATAAATAATATAAAAAAAAACTTTTTAATATAACTACAACGCTTTTATAAATGGTCTAAAAAGTAGAAAATAATATTTCTCAGTCCCATAGAATTTGTTTTGATAACTTTTGATTTTGAAATTTTAGCAAAAGTCATTATAAACAATCTATGAAATTGAAAATGAAAAGCGTGGGGCGCATGTAATACACTTGAATTGATATGAAAAGTAATATATGTATGTATGTATGTGGGTATATGAATAACGACCGCTTAAAATCGATTTC